CGTATAGAGAAAAGCAAGACAGTCCAGATGCATCAGCAACAGAGGGAGTAAATGAGTACAAAGGCCTAAGGCAACCTTACCGTTTCTCAGTATGCCCTTCATTCCATGGCTGAACTTCAGGTGACATGAAGATGAGATAGAGAGTGCACACAATGAAGTACACAATGGACACCAGCTGGAACACTTCTTTCCATCTACTTAAAGTTTGCTGAAAGGAAATTTAGAAATAAGAACAAAAATCACTTGCTTTTTAACCCCTAAGATTTGGATGATGTGACCATCACACCATGAAAAAATTTAGCTTTTGGCGCAGGTGATGTGATCCTCAAGTCATGGAAAAATTTGGCTGTGGGCCAGGGTGACAAAAGAGACCTGCCACGAATGCACAAACCTCTTGGAGGGTGATGAGACTAATTTTGCTTTTAGAAAGGGGCTTTTGCATTATTTCCATCAATAAATGAGTGTGAAATGTAGTGTCCATGAGTCATGACTGGAAGAGCACCAGCCCCAGGGAGGACACCATTTCCAACCTATGCCGCTGTGACAGTCGCCATAGGTTCTATTACAGAAAATTAAATATTATGAAAAAAAAAAAAGACATAAATAACAAAATGTTACTTATTGTTACTATTCTTGCACTGAGTTTTGGACTACATAGAGAGATGATATGAGATCTCTGCAAGGAAACGGTCTATTACCAGGTGGATAAAGCATATCAAATGACAAATATGGACATTGGAAAATGTCAAAAAAACTAAAGATGCATATGCAGAAAAAGAGAAAATAACATGGTGGCATAGAGTCTTGTCACCGCACATGAATGTCTATTTGCATCTGGCCTACAAGAGTGTTTTATCAAGTAAGCCTAATGCCTATATTTTGGACCATGTGATAGTAGTGAAGCATCTTGATTAAATGGGCTAATTTTATGAAATAATAAAAAATGTAACAACCATGTCCAATGGTATAAAATATTTACTCTGAAGAACTAATGGACACTGTAATTTACCTCCAATCCCATGATAGATACTCCAGTGAAGCCTAATTAGAAAATAATAATTAACAGAAACAAGATAAGGTATTACATTCTATCATGAATGATCCTGCACCACACTACCCATACTAATACTATAAATCTTCACAAATAGATATTTAACCCATTGGATCAGCATGCTTTACTACCATCATGTGGCCCAAAATACAGGTATTAGGTTTCAGTGAGTGGAAACTCTGCCAGGTGTGCGGCTTGCAAGCCAGGTGCAAACAAACACTTGTGTGCAGTGAAAAGACTCAATGTTTCCCCTTTGTTTTTCAGCATATGTATTTTTAGCTTTTTTGCCATTTTCCAAGGCCTATATTTGTCATCTGATTTACTTTATACTGATGATAACAGATTGTTTTCCCTGCACAGACTCCATATCGTCTTCTTGGTAGTCCATAACTCACTGCAAGAATAAGAACAAGAAATGACATTTTGTTTCTTGTGTAATTTTTTCATGCTCCTATGACAGCATGTTCATGTAGCCAAATGTTTTGATAATGTGATGGTCATGTTATCTGGATCATAGGGTTAAGAATATAGATTATTCCCAAACACATGAGGTCAAATAGCATTTCACAAGGATCTATACCTGGTTATTGATTATAGCTCCTGTAACCTCAGGAGCTAAAAATCCTGGGATAGTTGCCAGCGTGTTGGATATTCCAGTTAAAGTACCAGCAAAGTTTGGTGCTAGTTCCTGCAAAAGAAATTTACTTGTATAATTTTTTTCATTTTAATATTGCATATTTAAAGATAGATTACATTTCATTTTACCTATACTTAATTCCTGAAAGCGAACAATTGAGATATAAAGCAAAAATAAAACAATAAGGGTATATATGCAGATAATGTTAAAATCCGCATAAACTAATAAACATGAATTTGAGTTTCACACATTCCTCAATTACCTGAAATGCGCAATGGAAGCCACAAAAGGTAGCACCAGTTGCTCCAACAGCCAGGCAGATCAGCGCAACAGCTAGTCTGCCGTCACAACCAGCCCAAGGCACAAGCAAAACAGCAATCATTGGAATGTAGTTCCCTGAAGACAAAGATATATCAGGTAATTTCTAATATAGTAGTTCTATTAGTGAAAAGACACAATGCTGGCGAGACACTACGACTTATACAGAATCTTCTTCTGAATTCAACACTGGAAGCCTGGAGATGATGATGATAATGATGATTCTGAATAAATACACGTGTGATATGATTATGATAACAATGTTCAAAACTACAGTACTCAGTCATATACTATAAGCAAAAATATAACCTCACCAATGATCATTGACAGTCTTCTTATTTGTCTTGTTGATAAGACCTGTTTCTCCAGCAGGTGATCCATGTATCTCGAATAGCTTAAACTAAACATCCACATCAGCAAATAAGGTAAAGCTGACACAACACCATTCTGGAGAGAAGGGAATCATATTTACAGTGTAAGGTAACACCCCTTCAAATCCCACATGATAACATATGTATGGGAGACAGACATTAGGCCACACTTATGAATTTGTTTTAAAAAGACATACACATGAGGTAATATCTAAGATAAGGTTGTGATAGAGAGGGAGAGAGAGGAGAAGGAGAAGGAGAAGGAGAAGAAGAGAAGGAAGAGAAGGAGAAGAAGAAGGAGGTGGTGTAGGAGAGGGAGAGGTAGAGAGAGGAGATGGAGAAAAAGGAGAAGAAGGAGAGGAGAGGAGAAGGAGAAGGAGAAGGAGAAGGAGAAGGAGAAGGAGAAGGAGAAGGAGAAGGAGAAGGAGAAGGAGAAGAAGAAGAGTCTCCCTCTTCTAGGGAGAGGGAGAGGGAGAGGGAGAGGGAGAGGGAGAGGGAGAGGAAGAGGAAGATGAAGAGGAAGAGGGAAAGGAAGAGGAGAAAAAAACAAGAGGCAATAGGAGGGGGAAAGGCCTTAGAGTGAGTGTGCACGACTGAGAGATAAATCAACACTGAAAAAAAAAAGAAAGAGAACAAGAAATGGAGAGAAATAAATAACCACACATATGAACTTCACATACCTCTTTCATGTCATAATGCTGCATGTTTTTCAGATAGGTTGGGAGTTCCGTGAGCAGGCAGTAAAAGCCCCAATTGTTGCCTACGTGGGTCACCATGACCACTAAGAAGGGGGTTGAGGTCAGGATGGAGTGCCAAGGGACTGGAAGACTCTGTTGATTTGTTTATTTTATTATTTTCACTTTTTTCCTTCAGATTCTTATCTTTATTACTATCACCAGTATCATTGTTGCAATTCAAAATTCATTACATAAACCTACAATCTCTATCATATAAAATAAAGGAAGAGGAAGATAAATGAAGACTAAGTGAAGTTAAAAAAGGCAATGAGTGGAAAAAGGCTGTGGACAAAAGACAACAACAGTCAACCTGTTGGCTCACTCCTCCGTCTTGCATCTTCATTAAATCTGAGCAACTTACTCACCTCACTCTTCCTATGGTCTCCAATACCCTGCTTGATAAACAACTTCTCAGCTGCTGTGATACGAGGGTGCTGATCCGGAGAGTCGTAGGCATATCTGAACCAGAAATAGCCCCACACCAGACCAAGTACGCCAAACAAGTAAAACACAGACGGCCAGCCCCATTCCGTCTGCGAGAGCCAGCCGCTAATTGAGAGAGTCACCACTGTTCCGAACTGGCAACCTGAAAGCAGGAGGCATAGAGGTTCATCTTGGAATTAAAATAATGATGATGGTGATATGCCCATGCACTAGATTATGAAAAATAATTATAGTCATTTCAATTATCATCTCATTAATATCCATGAAACTCAGTTACTCCATTCGCAACAGAACAATAGAGAGAGCAAAAAAACGAACCCCCGACACTTTGCGTAAGTGAGCGTGCCCTTTCTTGAGGTGGAATCCAATATGACATCATGACATTCATTGCCGGAAACGTCACACCCTTTGGGAGAAAACAAACAAATAAATTTACAAAAAATAAAAGGTTTCCAAATAAATCAAACAATTACTGATTCACAACACTACACTGAATGTTTCAAAAATCTAGTTATGGCATCTAAATGTTACTTAAAAGCTCTTGGATTCTCACCTCTGTCATTCCTTCAAGTATTCTAATGAAGACAAAAGCACTGGTGGAGTGTCTTGCGGCATAAGGGGAGATGACGGTGAAGGCAGCAGTGAGGGTCACCCCAAGACCATACACCAACCTCCCTCCGAACCTCTCTGCTAATCTGCCGCCTATGTAATTCGTCAGGAGATACCCATAGAAGAAACAGCCAAGCACCATTCCCTGAGTCTGCTCATCCCAATCAAATTCTCCGTTCTGTAATATCACCAGAAATGTAAGGTAATAGTTAAGGATATTTTGCATACTGTGTATAAGTTATTTATATACTCTTAAATTCCACATAAGTTTAAAACTAAACATGGTTAAAACAACACAATATAGAATTTCATGGTACACTGTCTTATGAGATCAAAGTTTTAAAACTGTCAAAGAATTACTATAACCACATAAAAAAACAATAACTATTAGTAACTCATTAAGAAATAAACCCCTTTCCTTTAATCTCGTCCCAATCATGACAGAAACCCCCAATGGAAAAATCAGAAGCTCAAGAAACATAAAATATCCCTACTTTTTCTACTCTTAGCTGTGGGATAAACTATTTTTTAGATAATGATCCTAAAAAGAGTCTTTAAGCCTGCTTTAGAGGGGCTATTTCCCCATAATAAGTGCAGCCAGGGCCAAACAAGTTCATGACTGTTTGGCATGTACATATTAGAGAAGGCTCAACTGTGCAAAAATATGATCTTGGTGTGAGGGATGGTCTACTATGACATCATACTTGGATGAATGGGTTAACAATCACAAAACATCAGGCTGTACATACTGTGTCCGTAGCTGCATCTTTTGATTTCTGAGTTGCCGGGACAGGGCAGGTGTCGTCGTACTCCTGCGAGACTTTCTTGGTGTGAGGGCGATTCTTGACCATGGCAACTATGGCTACAGACAAGTTGACTCTCATGGCATACACAACCGCAAATCCAAAGAACAGCAGAGTTATCAAAACATGACGTTCACCAAATTCTGAAGAAAAAAGGAGAAAGAGAAATCAGATATATTACTTTTTGTTATTAATAACTAGATAGCAAGACAGATTGATATAAATATACATCATATAGTGTAAACATACATTTGTGAATGAACACACACACACACACACACACACACACACACACACACACACACACACACACACACACACACACACACACACACACACACACACACACACATATACATATAAATGTCCCTTGTACATGCATATGTAACTGCAAATTAGCAATAAATAATTTCATTTATTAATATTCCATTACATATCTATTAATGATATAAATGACTTTTAATTTTCCTGATAGTAAGTAATCATACATACATTACATTTAACCCCAAGCCACCAGGGATGGCATGTTTGTACATGCCATGCTCACCATGAATTTACTTTATTGATTGTTTTTACACAAATGGCTCCACAAGTACTAAGACACCAATGAGCCAATTAAGAGTACTACCTGTCTCACCTGTTTATCCTTTTCCTTGATTTAAAAAAAATATATCCTGATATCTCATATTGCTGTTATCAATGTCAATAACACTATAATAATTATAAAGTCTATAATAAAATTGCATCGATATTGATAGCACTACTAAAAAGTGTTTTCCCTGCATAGTCAAGGAAAGGTGAAATTAGGTCACAAGGTCCACTAAATGACTCTTATGGTTAAGCACATTCAGAGCCATCAATGAGACTTTTCACAAATCAATATGACAGTGAACACAGCATTTTCCTAGAGGCCTTTGGGTTAATTTCACTTACTTGATTTCTTTGGTTCTTCCGGCAAAATGTTTTCTACGTCTTTCTGAAAGTCATAACAGACGTATAAGAAATGTTTGCTAATACTCGAAGATAAAAGAAATAATAAATATAGTCAAGAATGATCCATATCTTGAAGACTGACTCCAAGGTATTGTTCACAGAGGATAAACTTCTTAATCCATTACAGCAGGGCACACTTATAGCCGTCATGAAAAACTAACTTATCATGACGAGCATGGCTATAGGCATCACAACAGAGTCGAGTCGAGCAGGAACTGTCCAGCCAAAACGCTGAACAGTTGCCAGAAGTCACCAGAATGAGTGGTACCCAGAGATTCCTGGTACTATCATTGTAGGATTAACCAATACTTTCTCCTGAGATTCAATTTTTTCCCTCCCTATATTTAAAGCAAAATACAGTTACCCTCAATCTTATATGTAGCATAAAAGAATAACAATAATAGAAAAAGCTGAATAAAAACAATAAAAACTCTGTGGAGGTGAAAAGTCAACCATTTTACACATTCACCAAATAAAACACAACTTACTGTTATTAATTTGTGTTGGTCCGATACTGGAGAGTAACCTGTATACGATAGAATCCGAGGCCACCATCTTGTCCCACTCTTCCCCCTCATGCTGTCTCTGCTGCAATACTTTTTGTGTAGGTGAGCATCCAATGGCTCACTTGCGATCAATTATGCAGGCATCTGTGAATAAAATTACATGGCTGAAAATTTTGTAAGCTTAAATGTGTGTCATTTAATTTTATAGTCATTTAGAATTATCTTGGTCACTGATAATTATAGATTACTTTCTGTTTATAAAGAGACAAAAATTGACTTGAAAAATAGAGTAGTATAAAGGTAATTGACAAACTTAAAGAAAATATGTTCTATTGCTTCATGTAATCTATTCGCTCTATTACAGAAGTTTAGTCAAACTGGTAAGTATCTGATAAAAAAGTAATGTTCAACAATTCATAATTTATTCACAGTGATATTGACAGTCTATAATTATACACTAAACACCTTTGATTCAAATAATAGCACATAATTACAATATAATATCACACATTTTGCTCTACATCACCTGCTCTTTTCTGCAGAAAAGATTAGTATTATTAAAAAAATTATCTATGCTTATGATTACATATTTCAATTTTGACATGTACTTTTAAATGAAACTAAAATTCAGCTCCAAATGGTAAAATAACGATGTAAAAACAATAAACATATGGACGAGGCACTGGAATACAAAATGCTTTGCCTTTCTTGCACACATTTTTTCGAAAAATTACAAATTAAAAACAAAACATTCTACAGTCACTCCACACACACCAAAGAATACTACCTTTCAACAACCTAATTAAAAACACACCTTAATAATACCCTTAAAGCTCTAAACCCACAAAACACTCCACGCAAAAGCAAGACCGCCTCACCTGCACGTCTCATTTATCAAGCAAAACCTTTACGGACTTGAACTCGTGACGTGTCACTTCTCATACACAAAACCCATACCTCAACTTAATCCATGACTCCGGCAACTCTATATGATTTTCCTAATATGACACTAATGCCGAAATAATGATCAC